TACAGGGCGCAAGACATTTTCCTGACATTGATCATCCAAAGGCACTGCCCCCCATATCTCCCAGTGGAGCAGGTCAATAGGAGCTGTGGGGGCGGTGCCTGAAGGCAAAGTTGCCACAGGGCAGTGTTTCTCAAACTGTGCTCCGCGGAGCCCCAGGGGCTCCGCGAGACATCTCCAGGGGCTCTGTGACGTTGACAAACTGGAAACATAGATAGGTACAACACTTACAATCAGTGGACTGCTGGGGATCCGCATACATTTTTACGCATGTAAAGGGCTCTGGAGCCCAAAAAGTTTGAGAACCACTGCCATAGGGACATGCTGGCTGCTGCTTCCCGCAGCTCCCTTTGGTCCGGAATTGCAAACCATGGCCACTGGAAGTTGCATGGGGGCAGTGCCTTCAGATGGTCAACATTAGCAAAGTGTCTCTCAGACCACAGTCAGATTACTCTGATGGGTTTTAGTTTGCGCACCATTGCATTACAGCATGGGACGTAAACGAAACATAACACAACATGGGAGAGCAAGAATGGTGGAGAGAAGTGACTAGAAGGGCGAAGGTTTGTGGCTGAATACACAGAACTTTTTTCTATCCTTGGACGCTCCCAAAATATTAGACCTTAAAAATCTTGTTGTTGTTCATAGTGAAACTGTATTAGTCATTTTCCCAAAATGTTTTAATTATAATTTTCTTCATCCTGAACATCTGATATAGTTGAATTCGTGGAACTAAATAAACTGCTTTTACAGGTGAAGATTAATTTAAAACTATACCAATACTTTGTTTCAAACTAAAACATTCATTTTTCCTTTGTGGAACATTTGCCTTTTACAGACTTTATGATAGAACTTTATTGGCACACTTTTGATATTATCTTATTAACACTCTCATGGCTTTACCAGACATAAGTAATGTAGCCATTCCAAACTCATGCCAATAAGAGCTTTATGCCAAGCAGTTGTGCATACAGTACTATATATCTAGGCTGTTCAACCCGTGGCCCATTTGTTTGCAGCCATTGGTGCAGTTTGGGTTTACGGGGGGTTCAACACACAGCCCACAGGTGGGATCCTTTGAACGTGGTCTCCACTGGGAACATGCTTGACAACAGCGAGGCATCTTCCAGGCAGGGTAAGCATTGAAAGGCACAAGCAGATGGGCTGGCTGGAACAGAGGAGTACAGGGTGTCTGCGTTTCAAGTCCCAGGAAGGATATACCGGGAGTGCCAGGGCATTGTGTGAAAGAAGCTATTTGCATATATATTTGCATGTATATGCAACCACATTTAAGTTGCAGCTCTCTCATCATGTTCTGTGATTATCATTTTGGCCCCCAGGGCTTCCAAGTTTGAGTAGCCCTGCTATATATACTGTGTGTCATACAGAAGCTTTTTTACACATTTGGGAAGGGTTCCTAAGGAATCTAATACCACCCTGCCCTAACCCATCAACCAGTAAAATCTCTACATTTCTGGAATTTAATACACTCTGATCAGGAGATTTAACATTTTAAAGGAGTCTCGACCCATAGTGTGTGACTCTGAGCCATGGTGTTCCTAGCTTGAAAGAGAGCTGTGATCAAATGGTGCCAGCCCTGTTCAAGGTAGTGAACACCACATTTGGAGAAGGAATTTCCTCTTCCTCCTTTGGCACATAACAATCTAACCAGCACAGAAAGTCCCCACTCTGCATACATCTGTCAGTTGCTGCCCACAGTCAAACTTTCTGTTCTTGGACAAGGTCAGAGAAGCTATCTAACATCAAGCTCATCTAATTTGAGCTAATTGACTAGGCCCAGCACAATCTGGATTCAGGTCAGGAGATAGAATTGATACTTCTTTAATGGCATGGATCTCCTCTGAGATCTGGCCAACATCCATTCCCATCCTCCTGGCCTTTGCTGTAGTATTTGATGTTGATAAAAGCAGTACCTTATAGTTAATCCAGCGTAATGCAATAAAACTGTTTGAGCTCTTCCTGAAGCTCTAGGAAACACCATCAGTGTAGAATATGGCAGCAAGACTCAGGAACACTGGCAACTGTGAACATGAGACCTGTCCGGTACTTGATACACTAGGTTCCTACAGAATAGTGGATAAGTCTGAAGATCTGTCTCTTCAAGCATTCCATGGATTGAGCTCACGGTGTCTTAAAATGTTTCTTACAGCTCCAGGAGGAAGCCCATGGTCAATAAAGGCTTCTCTGACACAACTGAAGTCTATAATAAACATAAAGATTGTCAGTGCAGGAGAGAGGGCCTGCTCAAGAATTCTCTCATTAGGGAGAGAATGACAAAACGAGCACATGACATATGTTAGTCACAATGCTTATTTAAACTGCTAGAAAGTATCCACACCCTGTGTTGATAAGAACCTTAATTGACTAACGTACTTTTTTAATTGGAAATATTTGTATTAATATCGCCTTACTTACCACGTGCTCAGTTGTACAGAATTTGAAAGGAAACATAATAAAAAATATTGAAAGTAACATTTTTATATATAGAAAAGTTGTGATTGGCTTTTGATTGAATTGTATCCATGCTGGGCTTCTGAGAGTTGTTTTCTGTAGGAAGGATGGACTGGAGATGGAGATTTTGTCTAATGGACTTTTTTTTTCTCTTTGTCTTTGTGTCTCTCTAAAACGAAAAGTGACTATTTGAAACTAATAGTTTTGAAATGTAGAATAAGTTCAGTTAGGATTCAATTAGTGGGAACCACGCAAGTGAGGCTTTCAGAAGTAAATGATACCGATTCATTCCATTGCCATGCAAGTTATTATATAGACATCACTTTCATGTGTATTTCTAAACACTGTATTTGTGTTGTTTTGTCCATGTTTGTTTACATATACAGTAATTCCTCATTTAACACTATAGATATGTTTCAGAAAATGTTCGTGTTAAGTGAAAACGTGTTATGCGGGGTCAGTTTTCCCATTGAAAATAATGGAAAAGATGGGGGTTGCGTTTCAAGCGATGGTGTCTGTTGGGACAGGGACATAAGGATGGGAGAGAAAGTGGACTGGGTTACAGCAGGGCGGGGAGGTGTTTGGCTCTGGGGAAGGGAAGGAGGAGAGGGGAGGGGAATTATGTTGGGAGTATGCCCCGTGACAGGTCTGCCAGAACCCGCACTGCTTCCGGCGAGGTGGGATTGCCGGGGGAATGGCGCAGCGAGCAGCGAACCCTCCGTCGCTTTGCAGGGAGGCGGGGGAAGCCCCACACAGCTGCTGGCCTGCAGCGAGGGGCGGAGGAGAGGGGGCAAGGCATCCAGTGAGGGAAGTCAGTGGGGAACGGTGCAGCGAGCGGCGAACCCTCTGCCGCTTTGCAGGGAGGTGGAGGAAGCCCCGTGCAGCTGCCGGCAACGGGCCGGCTGCGGAAATCGTGTTATTCTGGGGGCGGTCATGTAATTCAAAAACTGTTCCCTAAAAAGGAAATCGTGCTATTGCGGAAACATGTTAAGGGGGCACGTGTTAAATGAGGAATTACTGTATATGTGCTAAAACAATGCATATTAGCAATAGTATGGGGTATTAACATTAATGGCTTTATATTGCTAATATGTATTGGTTTTGCATTGTTGATATATAGTGCTATTAATGTTAATACCCCCATAATATTGCTGAAAGGGTTTTGTTCAATTGTCCAGTTTTTGTGAAAATGGATACGTGACTTATCAAAAAAGTGTGTCTGGATAACTCATTTCCCTTTGTTTCAATTATTATTTCAATGGGCCAAATTTTCTTCTGGAGTGAATGGGAAATATTTCTATTAAAAGTCATGAAACTGCAAACATTTATACTAGAAAATTTGAGACCATCTGTTTTTGAAAGTCATTTTTGATAGCAGGTCCTAATTAAAGCACTGAGGTCCCATGTGAAGTCTGCTGTTTAAGTGCATTATTGAATATATTCTCCTCAAAAGTCCATTTTAATAATCTAATTTTATGAAATCTGGTAGCTTTATATCTGATCTGGGATTAACCTTGATGAGTAACATCCTAGAGTTTGTTTGTACAGCTTACAAGGGTATTATAGTAGTAGCTATATGAATACGTATCAAATTGCAGTATTGTAATCCAAATCTTAATAAGTCATGAATTTAGCTATTTGAACAGGTAGGACCTGCAGCAGTCGATTTTGTGCAGCAGTTTAGAAAATGTAAATATTATTTCTATCACTTAATTTGAATCTATTAAGCATTGCAGCTTTGTTTTGCATATTTGATGGTTGGACTTAGGCATGCCACACCATATTGTCATTTATTAGTTGTTGAGTAAATTGCCATAGCTCTAACAGTTAAAATGTAATTGCAGTTTAATGGTGTCAGCACCATAACATGTTTTGTCATTTTTCTTTTCCTTCATGTGAAGAAACTAGAAAATTACTTGCTTGTAATTCTTCTTTGAGGGTATCTGACCACTACCCTGGCCTTTTCTTCATGTTTCTGCCTGCTTCAGGGGATATGATGGAGCTTTGTAATCGTAATTCTCTATTGATATGAGATTGCTCAGGGATTTTACACTACCAATATAAGTTAGAGCAGCCTTCCAGGCTTCTCTCATTCTTGTTATCTTGGTCATACTTAGAGTTTGCCTACATTGCCATGTGAGGTGTGACTTCAGCATGTATAGACAAACATTGAGCTCAATCAGCTCAAATAACAATAGTACTGAAGCCACAGGAGTAAGAGTGAGCCACAAAAGAAAATACACAAGGTACCTAGGAATCTTTTTCAGACTGTGGTGCTGCCCATGTTGCTGTGGCTTTGCTGCTCTTGTTGTTCAAATTAGCTAGATCAAAGGTAGCTCAGGTGCATCTACATGTGGTCCAATTACATCTGCAGTTACAGTAGAGACATAACCTTAATAAGAATTCCTTTCAAGAGTGACGGAGGACAAATGAACCCTTATTATATTCAGTAAAACTACTTCATTATGCCACAGCCTGAAGTACTGTAAATAGGACATGAATATTAAAACACATGTTAATTTGTCTTTCAGGGGTTGAAAAGCTGATCCGTCATCTACACAAACACAATATACCTATCGCTATTGCTACTAGCTCAGCTGGAGTGACATTTGAGATGAAAACAAGCAAACACAAAGACTTCTTTAGTCTGTTTCATCACATTGTGTTGGGAGATGACCCAGATGCGAAGAACAGCAAGCCACAGCCTGACATATTTTTAGTTTGTGCAAAGAGATTTCACCCTCCTCCCCCTCCAGAAAAGGTAGGGTTTGAATTAACTGAAAAGTCAGAAATAAACAAATTAGACTAAAGTTGGGGGGAGAGGGTGTGTTATTTTGTTTAAGAGACTGAAGTTTAATAGCCAATGAAAATACTCCTCGGGGGATTTTGTGTTACTGCACAATACAGAATTTTGCAGAAATTAATGTTGTACATGCAGAATTTTCTTTCCCTCACGGAAATTGGCCTCAGTGCTGCTGGCTGCCACTGGGGAGTCGTTGGACCCCGCAGATCCCAGCTTGCACATAGAAGACACTGCTTGGGGAGGTGAAGGAAAGGAGAGTTTCCAACATCTATAGTTCCCAGCATGCCCTGAGGAAAGCAAACACCACACAAGGATGGGATCCAGCATCGGGCTTTTTCTTCCTCTGGGCTCTGAAGCGTAGGCAAGGTATCTGAGCCGAAGGGGCTACAGTATTTTTCGTGTATTTTCTGCAATTTTGTGTGTCTCTGAATTGTTGCATACTTGCTGACTGGCATTTTGAAAAAATAACAAAGGGTGTGTCTAGACTACAGGGTTTTGTCGACAAAAGTGGACTTTTGTCGACAAAACTATACCTGCGTTCACACTGCCTTTGAGTTACGTCGACATAACATTGACAAAACTCAGCAGTTTTGTCGACGTATGTAAACCTCATTCTACGAGGAATAACGCCTTTTGTCGACAGAGTTCTGTCAACAGAAGGCATTATTGCATCTACACTGTCTTTTGCGTCCACACTGTTATGTCGACAAAGCGGCTTGTTTTGTCGACAGAACTGGATGTACTCTAGATGCTCTTTGTCGACACAAGCTTTGTCGACAGATACTGTCGACAAAAGCCTGTAGTCTAGACATACCCAAAATTATTACCAAAATTATTACCAGAATAATTACCAATAGAATATGTTGTCTTATTTTAGAAATAAAATTCTGCAGAATTTGAAAATATTGCGTGCAGAATTTTTTTTTTTTGTATAGAATTCCCCCCAGGAATCATTTTAAAAAAACACACACACAACATCCTTTGTTGTAGAAGCCTGGCATTATTGGAAATTGTCCTATTTGTTCACTGTATAATGTTTTGTAATGCAAATTACACTTGATTTACTGCATGGCTCTGTGAAGTAACAGGACAGTTCAATGATTTCCACTATGTGTATACATTTGAAAGCTAAGTTTTTGTGCTCAAAGTTTAGGAACATTATTTAAAGATAGGTCAGTTTTCTTAAAGTGTCTGTGGTTGATTTATTGCTTAAATGTCTAAATAATAAATATACATTTTCAGTAGAAAGGGCATAGATTTCCTTCATTCCATCTCTATATCCTGCATGCTGAATCTATTGGGTCACAATTCATGGTTTATGATTTCAAAACCTATCATTGAGAAATATCATTTGAAGCAGAAAATGGTTTTCTTTTTCTCATACAGACTTGTTAAATTTCTAACTCAGAAACCTGTGGAGTTATCTGAAAGATAGATACTTATTTTAAGTAATATAATCATTGTTATTTTAAATGAACACAATTTATCTATGAAATACTTAACTTTTTTTTCAGTTCTGCTTGAATCATGGAGCCTGTAAAGAAATTTTGAGATCCTCAATATTACTAAGAAAATTATTTTTGTAATTGCAATTTTTTTGATCCAAATTTTAGTGTAGATTAGAGAAGAGTTTATTGTTGGTCCATGGAGAACAATGGATATGTAGGCATATTTGCGTCAGTTAGCTATTGTATTTCAACCTTTCTCTGAATAGACTTTCTGTTTCATCCGAGCCCCTTATTTACATAAGTAGGAGTGAATAAATTAGTAAATAAAGCTGTTGATGATTGTTCTTGAAGTGTTCCCTCTAAAGTGTGGGGTAGCACAGCTTCACAGGTGATTAATAAGTCGGGCCCAGTCAGAGGCTCAGGGTTCCTTGCACAGAGCTGACCGACTTGTCTCGGCTGATTAATCACCTGTGAAACTGTGCTGCCCCGCACCTTAGAGAGAACACTGTTCAGTGCAGTGCCGTGAGAGTTATGAGTCAGTAGTCATTTTGCCATTTTAGAAATGTACTGCATTAAACAGGATGCCAACTGAGTTCTGCAACATTTTTGGCAATATTAGCTCTATAATGACTCTTTTCCTGTGCTTGCTTGTAATTTTGCTGGAGGGAAAATGAAAGAGACATACATTTAGAAATATAATTTACAATTTAACATAAAAAAATAAAAAGAAATACAAATTAATTCCTTACTTTACAGTCACTTTTGTGTTCCTTGCACTAATGTATTATATTGCTTGAAACTTCTGTGTGTAATCCATTTGTGCTACTGTTTTACAACAGTTCTCATACTATTTTTATGCATTTCATCATTCTGACTTGAAATCTAAATTGTTTTCTGAGACACTGAGGAATTTAAACTGAAATAATTCTAGCTATATCTTTCATTGGTAGGGTACATATATGAATTGTGTAAGCAAATTATAATTGCTCTTATTGAAATTTATTTAACATACTGTTTTCAGCTGTACATACTGGAAAAACCTTTGGAACTTGCATATTTAAGGTGAACTGCAAAGCAAAAAGAACAGTAACACTGTTTTTATTGTGACTGATGCTGATTATGTGTGTATGTGGGTATATATAATAAAATGAAGCTCATATTTATTTTGTACATGTGGGAGACTGTGAAAACCAAACCTTTATGTCTCTCTTTTTGCTAAGCAACTGATGAAGGGTCCCCAGATATGCAATACCTTATTCAGTCAAATACCTCTTGTGTGTGTAGTACATATTGGACAATTGTTGCATGCATAAGGACTTCTTGTATGAGTAAGTTTTTGCAGGAATGGCTCTAAGTTTTGAATATTCTCATTAGTGATGCCACAGAAGACTGTAACCTTAATTTAGAGCCAGAAGTGAGGAGATGATAGTCCTTGATCATTCATTTTAAAGGTTCTTTTATAGAAAGAAAAAAAGACAAATGTTTTATTATTTGTATATTGTAGAGTGTCTTTTGTTTGTTTTGCTTTTGCTTACCTTTAATTCAAAGCAGGTATCATTTAAAGTAATATTTCCAGATAACTATATATTTTAATAAGCAGAGATTTTTAAGTTTGCAATGCTTCATGTTGATATAGAAAATATATGTGTAATATATTCTCTGACTATTTTAACTGTTTTTTTTATTTAAGATAAAAGTTACTAAAAGTGGTGTTGTGCAATTAAGAAAGTACCAGAAAGGAAGTACTGGAATTTATTTGCTGCAAAGGGAATAAGAGTATCTAGGGATTTGGCATGTCTAGTAATGGTGTGTGGGGTGTTGATGTGTGTGTAAGGCAGGGGATTGAGCTGTGATAGAAACAGTCGTTGTGGAGTTTTAACAGTAGGAACAAGGGGGTCATGATTCCATAACCATTCTGAAACAATAATTGATATTTGTTTTTATTGATCCACTATAGATAAAAGCTGTGAGGGTATCATGAAAATCTCAAAGATGATAAAAATTCACCATACAAATTGTCAGATCTCACAGGCATTGTTTTTGTGTTCCAGATATTACACTTCAGATAAATTATTTTCCCATTTGACTACAAACAAAAAAATTGAGCTTTTCCTGTGCTAATAGTGAATATATTTGAACATGGTATCATATAAATTATAGTCTGACTTTGCTTCTGTTTTGTTTTAAACTTTAAATTTCCAAGGTATTTTGAAATAATCTGTTCTTTAGCCTATTTCTGAAGACAGTGGTGAAATCTGTCATTGTGTGTCTAGACTACAGGTTTTTGTCTACAAAAGTGGTCTTTTATTGACAAAAGTATACCTGCATCTACACTACCGCCGAGTTCTGTCGACATTTTGTCGACAGAACTCGGCAGTTTTGTCAACGGCAGTAAACCTCATTCTGCGAGGAATAATGCCTTTTGTCAACAGAGTTCTGTCGACAGAAGGCAGTATTGCATCTACACTGTCCTTTGCGTCTACACTCTCATGTCAACAAAGCAGCTTGCTTTGTCGACAGAACTGGATGTAGTCTGGACACTCTTTGTCCACAGAAGCTTTGTCGACAGTATCTGTCAACAAAGCCTCTGTCAAGAAAAGCCTGTAGTCTAGACATACCCTAAGAGTACATCTACACAGAAAAAGAAAGTGACTCTCAAAGCCTACCTCAATTGACTCAGGCTTATGTTAAGGGTCTAAAAATAGCCCTGTCGGTGTTTGGGATTGTTCTGGAGCTTTGGCTATAAGGCCCACTTTTCTTTAACAGGTGCCAGACTGTCAGCCAACGGTCAGGGCAGTGTGTGTGTGTGTGTGTGTGTGTGTGTGTGTGTGTGTGTGTGTGTGTGTTTCCGAGAAAAGGTTTAATGTCCGTGTCTTTACTGCTAGGACCGGGGTCCCATCGCAGAGGGTGGCCAGCAGGCCAACAGACGCCCCATTATATAGGAAGAGCTTATTACACCTTAGATTTTAGCTGCTAGAACACAGGGGTTCCTTCGCAGAGGGCAGCCTAGGAAAGGCTGAAAAGGTGCCCCAACGGATCTTGTCACCTGGGAGTGACACAGATCCAAACGCCCAAGCTCTCCCTATGTCTGTCCCTTTATGACCGGCTGAAGTTCTTTTAAATTGTGCTTGGTTCTATTACAGCAACTGAAAGAGTCAGGTCAAAGCTTAAACAGTTACAGGTTTATTAAAGGCTTATAAAAGCATATATATGATTACAATGGCTATTGCTCTCTTTCTTAACTGTTAACAAATACAGATTTTAAAAATGGTTACAAAGAAAATAAAGATAGAAAATAGAAATAATGGTACCAAGTGACAGCTTAATCTTTAAAGAGCTCTAACACTATGTATATATATACTTAAGCAAAGGACCACATCCAGGTACAATTTTTACCCCTTTCTGTGCCTCTCGACTCCAGCGTGTCAGGCCAGGGCCGGTCTCTCAATTCCTAGGAAAGACGAATACGAGGTGGGCGTCCCCTCTGGAACCTCGGGAGATCAAACACCT